TCAGTAGGATTCGAACCGACGATCCCACTGACTCAGCCAGTTGCCTACGCACCGTGCTAAGACGCCTTGTAAATTATCGTTTGCTTATTTCCACTATTTTCATTTTTGTTATGCCAACACAATCAAGCGCAGCTATTCCGCTGCAATTCACTTGATTTACTTTGACTTTTTACTTATGACTCAATCTCTTTAAAGAAGTTGGTTTGGTCCAATACCCAGCCGAGTGCTGTACAATGTTATTAATTTCTATCTAAAAATGATAAAATGCCAACTTTTAATTCCTTGTTATCATTGGCTATCTCCCTCAGTGTGTCAGCTTTGTCTTTCTCTAGCCTCATCCACTCTTTTTCATTTTCCTCACTCCTCTGAATATGTTGGCTTATCTCCGCTGACAACCCATCAAATTTTTCCAATACTTTCTTTTGTAAAGTGCCCATTGCTTTCTTTCTTTTAGGCTCAACCGCAGAAGCTGAGCTGCTAGGCATTGGTGATGATGGCGATGATAGCCGCGGTGCCGGTGTGGTTGGCAGAGGAGTGAGAGGTGATGACAGCGGCGGTGACGGTGTAGGCAGCGGTGTGGTCGGCACAGCAGGAAGAGGTGATGCCAGTGGTGAGGAAAATGTTGGGCTGAGTGATGACGGCAATACTGGGGTCAGTGGTGATGGCTGGGATGCTATATCGGCTTCTGTTTAAAAGAAAAAAAAAAAAAATAAGAATGAAATAAATAAAATCAGCATTAAATAAATACATATGTACATATGTGCTTGTATCGAAGTTAAAAAGGTAGGGTACGGTTTAGTTATTTGTACAACAATTTTGGGTTGATGTGCAAAACGCGTGACCCGAATAAAAAAAAACCGAGCTGTGTGCTGTCAAACGCAAAAAGTATCCTCGAATTATCTCTGCAAAAGGTGTTCAGCCCCTCTTCCTCGGCAACACAGAAAGGATAATGGTACTTAGTGAGGATTATAATCCTTTCGCAAAAAATCCCAATTTCCCCTATGTTTAAACAGCTCCCAAGGGGTCTGTGGGGGGATGGGTTACTTTTAGTAAAGCGCTTTCCATCCTCTTTCGTTTAGGGTGGCACCACCACAAAATCGTTTTACAAATAACTAAAAATTTCCCAAAAGATATTTTCATTATAAACAGTGAACATTTTTTAGTAGATCAAATTTCTATTAGCACTACTGAAACCAGTTAAGTGGGGAAACATTTTCATTCTCTACTTAAGTTTTTAGTGGAACATTTGTTTTGAAGCACCACCGTATGTCTGTGCTCGTGCAAAATCGAAGTGTACCTTCGCACTTAAACCTGCAACTAAACGAGCTGTTCTAGCATGTACACAGACGCATCACTCTGCTACAAAACAAATATCTCCACTAAACACATTACGGCTTTTTGTAAGGCACATTCCAAAAACGCATACATACCGCTGATGTTTTCAAGCGTCAGCTCGCAAAACATATTGGCCTTAAAACCACCGATTATCTGATGCACCCTTGCGTATAAAGGCCACGTTGAGGGTGATGCACCAGAAGGTCCCATAGCCAATTTCTCTTTTCTATTAACGAATTAAATTTTTAGTGGTTTTGAATATTATTCCTTTATTTCTTCTTACCTGTAGCGTTGCGTGAAGTTCGCCAACTTCACCTGCACATCCCGGGCGCTGTAGTTGTGGCCACACTTTGCCAGCTCGTTCGCCATCTCCGCGTAGATGTGGCCATTCTTCCGTGCCCCGCGGAGATCAGCAACGCGCTCTTGCCACAAATCAAGAATGGCCACTTCGCCATCCTCTGCCCAAGTCAGTCTCCTCTTTCTTGGTTTTGGAGGTAATCGAACTGAAATACATACATATGTGTTTTTAATAAACATTACACAAAACCATTTGTGTTTATTTACTCACCATTCACACTGTTCTGCATCCTGCAGTTAAAATTAAATTTTTTTGGTTTTTGATGTCTTTGGTTCCAAAAAGAAAATAATAAATTTATGTCAAACAGCTGATTGTCATTTAACACTGAACACACCAAAACTAAGAAAACGAACTTACCTAACAGAGTTGCATTGGAGTTTTTACTCGATTAATGTTGAGTATGAACAAAGCATAATACATGTTACAAACAGCTGATACCAAGTATACACACTTTCTTATACTCTTTAGCACTTAAGTTTTAGTACTAAGCATTATCATGTAACTTGAACTAAATAAAAGCTCTCTTGCTTCTCAACCATCAACGCGTATACATCTCATCTGGCGACGAGGGTAAAAGTAAATTTTTTATTTTAACAAAAGTAATTAAGTAGCTAGATCCATGACGCAAGAGGAATCAAGTAAAATACTTGAAACATCGACAATGACCAAAATTGTCCACACTGCAAGCATTCCAGAATTTTCGGCAAGTGATAATTGGCAGCTGTGGTATGAGAGGTTAGAACTGCATTTCATCGAGATCGAATGCACGAAAGAAAGTGGAAAAATTTCGACACTTTTAAAAAGTGTTAGCAGCGAGGTATATGGTATCATCCATAGCATATGCAGCCCGGATTTGCCGAGTAAAAAAAGCTACAACCAATTGTGCGAAATTTTGGAACGCCACTTCACACCACCGGTAATTTTGTTCCGTGAAAGAAAAAATTTCTATTCGGCCAAAAGGTCGGAAAACGAGACGGTGGCAGATTGGTATGCGCATGTTAAAAAACTATCATTGCATTGCAAATTTGGTGAAACTCTGGAAAAGATAATTCTGGATAAGTTTATTGTTGAATTACCGGAGAAAATTTTTGAAAAACTATGTGAAGAGGACGAAGATTTGTCTCTAGCGAAGGCGTTTAAAAAGGCACTCGTAATGGAGTCAAAGTTCTCCGCGCAAGCTAATCCAAGCGAGGAGGTAAATTATGTAAAATCACGTAGGGACAGTCGCGGTGGCAAAAACAACAACAGTAGCACCAGCAATACCGGTAGCAAGGGCAACAACAGTGGCATCAGCAATAGCGGTAGCAACGGAGATAAAAAGAAACCGTGCGCACATTGTGGGTGGAAGAATCATTCGTCTAATGTCTGCAAATATCGCCGTAGCATTTGTCACGCTTGCAATAAGCAAGGTCATTTAGCAAGCGTTTGTCGTAATAAAAATAAAAATATTCAATTTATCAGTGTAAAAGAAGAAAATAATGATATTTTCGATTCGGTATTTAGCATTTCCCCAAGGGAGCGAGGCAAAGAGTCTGATCAATACGAGCTCTCAGTAGAAGTTAATGGTATTCAGCTGAAGGTAATGTGCGATACTGGAGCACCGTGTTCGTTGATGTCAACGGGAGTGTTTGATGCTAATTTTGAGCGCAAGTTGCTGAAAAGGTGCTTATCTTCATACACCGGGTATGGGGGGCGAACGTGTAGATGTGATTGGTGAGTTTGAAGTTAGAGTGAAATATCAGGAAAAAGAAGTTGTAGGCAAATTTATTGTTACCAACACGAGCCGACCAACCTTGTTCGGAAGAGATTTTTTGCGCAAGTTAGGTTTCGAGCTATCAAATCAAAAATCAGCATGCAATAAAATAAACTATTTAAGCTCACACCAAGAAATAATCGAAAATATAAAGAACGAGTTTTCTGAAGTATTTAAGCCGGGTATGGGAAAATATAATTTATCCACTGTAAAACTACATGTACAAGAAGGGTCAACCCCAATTTTTTGCAAGCCACGACCGGTTCCTTTGGCGTGGCGTGAAGGCATTGAAAGACAATTAGAAGAATTAGTTCAGAGTGGTATTTGGATTCCAGTAGAAAACGCTGATTGGGGAACGCCTTTAGTTCCGATCCTAAAACCCAGTGGGCAAATACGAATTTTTGGGGATTATAAGACGACTGTGAATCGCTTTTTGTTAGATTTTAAATATCCACTTCCACGTATAGACCAGATTTTTGCGTCGATACAGGGGGGTAAACTTTTTACAAAGCTGGATATGTCAAACGTGTACGTGGAGTACACATAAAGGCATATTTAAGGTGACTCGCCTGCCATTCGGAATAAAGACGGCAGCTGCAATCTTCCAAAACACTCTTGAAAACTTACTGAGTGGAATACCGAATGTTTTTTGTTATCTGGATGATATCACTATATCAGGGGTCAACTTTTCCCAGCACTTGTCGATACTCAAACGCGTATTATCGAAGCTGCAAGCAGCTGGTTTGAGACTGAATAGCGGAAAATGCGAATTTTTCAAAGAAAAAATTTCCTATTTAGGGTTCGATATCGACGCGAATGGTTTGAGCAAAAACAAGGATCGTATTAAGAGCGTCATTGATGCACCAAAACCACAAGATATTTCCCAGTTGAGGGCCTTTATTGGTCTAGTGAATTATCATTCAAAATTCATTCCCAATTTTGCACAAAAGATGCTTCCGTTGTATAAATTGTTGCAGAAAAAACACGAAGTTCATTTGGAACAGAGCATGTCAAGAGGCATACAA